TTCCTGCTGTCCCACGGTGTAAGGCACAAGCTGAATAAATACCCATTCTCCTCTCCATGGTAATATCTAGAAAGGCAAGTTGGCAGCCACCAAAGCCACTAGAACTATGACAGGAAGGAAGTGGGGAAAAAAACCCCACTGTTGTCTAGTGTGCAGGGTACCTGCCTGAGAAACAAGACATTTTACTTTCAGTCTTTTTTTGCTCTGACATGCAGCCATTTTTCTGCATTTAGGCATAGGACTAATTTCTAGGAATTATATTACAAAGACAGGAAAGCGTTAGGGAATAAGTTACCTGGGTAAGGCCCATGTATTTGTTGACATTCTCTGACAAAAAGATCATGTCTCCATCCTGTGTCACCACAGCAATAAATCCCTCCAAAGCTTTCAGGTACAAGTTGTCCATCTGCTGGTCTGCCTCTAGTTCATTCTCGTTGTCAGCACATACTGAGAAAAAACAAGAAAAAAAAACACGTGAAGAGTTTAGCACCCTAACCAGCCTTTTTCAATGCAAGCACATTCAGTTACAAAGTATTTTTCCACTGTTAGAATTTCCTTTCCACAAATCCCTTCTGGTGGGGCCTTCTGATGAGTGTACGAAAGGGATGTCCTTATCACCAGAAAGGCAGGAGATATTTTTCTAAACTTTTTGGCAAATGCAACAGACCTTCTATTCACCTTTAGCATGTTTCTGCAAGATGTGCTTTCAGTACCTGACACCTCTCTACCTAGACGCTGAAGTGCATCTTCTTCACACACGTTCTTCCGGCCCCCTGCAACATCGTGTCTAATGGGCACAAGGCACAGGGTAAATCTTAGAGAAATTAAGTTAAGTTTGTGCATTCCTAACAAACGTCTAACAAATGACTTTTCCATCATGTTAAGTTTTCTAAGAAGTTCAAATACTGTTTCCTACAAAGTGTGCCTAAATAGACCTCTCCACTATGAAGACATCTATTATCACTACCTTCAGCAGAAAAAGTAGAAAAATACTCCCTTGAAGTCCTTTTGGGGGAATCTCTCTTTCATCCCATAAATCTCAGTATTCCTAGGAAAAAACACAGATCCATCCCCTCAGTGCCTGCTTTTTCACCTGCAGACATCAGAAGTCCCTGGGCACTGCTCCACCAAACTTGTCACCCATATAGGCTTCTCCTGTCCCGCACGGAGGAGAGCCTCAGGCCTCACCTACACCTCATGTGTTTGCCTGGGCAGGTTCATGAACCCAGTGCATCTTATCCATTTTTGGGATAGACATGCCACTGTTGTGCTAATCTACGGCCATGCTAGAATATTTATTAAAGCTTTTTTTTTTTTTTTTGTCAGGCATTTTCCTGTTGCATCTTGGCTGTGCTGTAGAGACAACTGATGGCGCTGAGGTGTCCTCAGGTGTGCTCCACGTTGCTCGTCTCCTGTGATTAGAGCCAGCATGGAGGCAAAGCCGCAGGCAAGGACAGAGGGGGAGGCATTGCTTCTCCTAATTCCAGTCACATGAGTGTCCACTCGGCACTCTTGCCTTCCCTTCTGCGCCATTAAGCATGTGTCAACTCCATGAATAAGGAGCCTGCAGGAGAACATTTGTAGAGGACAAGTATCGAAAAATTTCTGTGTAGGAGATGGCCCATTAATTTCTTGACATGTTTTACAGGAAACTTCTGGGATTATTTTTTTCCAAAACAGTTTACAGATATCACCTCTGGTTTGTGTACCTCAGACATGCTGCAGTGGAGCTTATCTTTATAGTTTTGTCAGTTCGCCTGCACATTTGCGATCAGTCATTGCAAATACATGCCATGGTAAGGCTCTGAATTTGAGGTGGGGGGGTAAACCAAACAAACTCCTCAGAATAAAGAATAACCAACTCCAGCCATACAGTGCTAAAGATACAAGGCCATGGGTAAATCCCATCTAGATCAAATGTGCTTCTCAGCCCGAGGCAGCAAGGATGATGTGAGCAGCTCCAGCGATGCTGCTGTCCCTGCCCCTCCCTGGTGGCAGAAGAGGGCTCCAGGCTGGGCCACCACTGACTTTGCTGGCCAGAGGCCTCAGCAAAGTAATTGCATCAGCCTTATTTGTAAGAACAGTAGGACTCTTAAGCGGCTTTCTTGAAGAAGCTGCTCTTCTTTGTTGGTTTAGTGTTGCAATGTCAGCACACAGTTTTTGTTCTCCAGTACACATACTGTTAGCACTCAAGAGAAGTATTTCATTCTCGTTCTCTTCCTCCCTGACACAGCACATTCATCATTTCCCTTCATGCTTCTTGTCAGAATACTCATTCTGGAAAAAGTCTAGAAGCAAGAATGGGGTATTACTTTGTAGAACATTATTAGAAGCGGTTTGGATTTGTTTTTTTGTTTGTTTTTTTTTTTATAGGGAAGAGGCTGAGTCAAACTAATGCAGTTTTCACTTTGAAGCATTGATGAGTTATGATTAAAGGCTGAGTTTGATCTATATACCTCCTGCACCTGCCACTGCCCAAAGACGGGCACTGAGCAAGCACAGAGGGATGAGCACTTGCAACACAGGGCCCTCTGAGCCACTGTTGGAAATAGATGAGTGGTGACAAAAATGATGCTGGCTGCTGCTACAGTAGCCTCCTGCTCCCCTCACAGGAGCCTGTCAGCAGCCTGTTACTCAACAGGCAAACAAGGGAGTAAATGGGCTCGGCCCTAGAGCCATTGGGAGCCCTCAGTTTATCATCCTTTGCTTTGCAATGCAATCATTTGGTGGCAGGGAAGAGAAGGTGCTCTCTGGGCATGGCCAGCACAGGCTGTGGATTTATCATTTTGTGTCCCCGCACTGCAATTCCAACTACACGCGCAGGGGCCAGTTCCTCCTGAGTACAAGGCAACAGACTTCAGGAAATTACATCAGGGCTAGCATTTAAAACACAGAAAATACACAATAATATATTTAAATAGTATGCACTTTGACCATAATGACATCTGGGGGGGGGAGGGGAATAAAAAGGTAAGTGACCATCTGCTCCTAAGCTTGTTTCTGCTGTGTAAAGAATGTCAAGGGTCTTTTTTTACTTTTCCGGAAGCAAACAAATGGTTTATTCAGCAGGGATCATGGCTATAGCCCAAGACAATCAGCCAAGTGTGGGTTCAGAGAAAAAAATGACTTTTCAGCTCTAACCCCAGACCCTCCTTTCCATTTTTTTTCCCAGCTCATTAAGTTTGCATTAACAAAACATGACCATTCAAAGGCAGGAAGGCTATTCAAAGCATTTGTATTCTTAAATGCCTCCAACAGTGAAAGACAAACACTTTACTTGTATTATCAGATGATTAAGTTTGCTTTTCCATGTATATAAATTATATTACTTATACAAACACACACAGAGAGGACATAGGATCATTCACATCAGGGCTGCAGGTTCAAACCCTTAATGCCCAAGCTGAGCACAACACTTAAACGTATAGTCAGCTTTAAAGCACAAAGTTAAGGGGTTTTGTGGGTCTAGAGTTCAACTTTTTTTTAATTAAAGTTACCTTTATCTATCTGGAGGCATCTGTAATGTGGACTGAGAGGAGGGAAGCAGATTTGTGCTACTGTGCACCCCCCTCTCACATAACACAAAAGCACGACCAAGGTGTTTTGCAGTCACCCTCCAGCTTCCCTGATAACTCGATAAACCCCACTGCATGCTCTGTTACTCCTTGGCAGCCTTGGCCACAGAAGGCAAGGGGAAGCTGGAAAATAGCCCTTTCTTGTAGGACTGTACAGTGTGGGCACACATTTCAGATGAAGCAGCTGCATCAGGGGAACTGTAGGCACTATCAGGCACATAGAAGTAGGTGACAAATACCTCCAGGGGCCACTTTGCTCCTGCTGCTGCCCCTACTCCTTGCCCAATCTCATGGGCACCCCCTGGCAGCCTGCCCAGGGCAGCCCACACACCCAGGGATGCTTCTGTGAACTGGTGGTTGCAAACACACGGCCCCAGGAGGTGTCACCTGCGCTAAACCCCCGAAAGCACACTAGCGACCTCAAGATCCTTAGTCTGCAGCAATAAAAATACATTGGGCATCACTGCGGTGGCCCTAGTATGCCCAGTCAGGTAGCTTTGCATAATTATAGTCATATAAATAATAAATAACAGTCCCTCTTATGGCTGCCGATACTGCATTATAGCTTCCCTCTCTCCTGTGAAAATTGCTACGAACACAGAAGAGACACATGCATTAGGACACCGATACATCAGAAGCAATTCAGTTCTTGCCACTAGTGAAAATCTGGTTTGCTTTAGAAAGAATCTATTTTGCAGAAGAAAACCAAATAAAGGCATGGCCACTGCAAGCTGCTCTCAGAAATCCTGATTGTCTTTCACTTTGCTTTAAACGTTCTTCATTCATTTACTTCAGGGCTGGGCTGGAGCATTAGGATAAGAAAATTCAGCTGCAGCTGGTAAACATTTGAGAAAGCTGGACTGCAAATATGCCAGTTTAACTACAAATTAATAGCACAATCAGCAAAATGAAGTGCTGTAATATTATTGTTCATATTAGAGTTACACTTATGGATCCTGGCCAAGATTTTGTTCACGTAGCACTGGGAAGCTTATAAAGGAGGGAGAAACCCTGTCTTGGTGAGATCAGGAGATGCGGGAAGACATAAGAGCTTCAGAAATGTGCAGTGGCCTTCCTGGGGTGACAGTCAGAGCTGCAGCAGAACCCGGAACACAGCAATAGTTCCTTTGTCCCGTATCCCAAGCTTGACGGGTCATCTGCTGTTCATATTGTCCCACAGCAATATTTCTGACACGTCAATATTTTTGACATAGTATTTTTCAGTCCATGTCTCAGTCTGTATTAAATTTTGATCAGTATTTTTTAATCAGCTCTATTTAAAAACAATTCTAACCACCAAAGTAGAATTTAATTCATCAACAAGAAACTTTGAACTGTAAGGGCAAATGCTTAATGCAGTGTTTATGACAACCTTTTATGCTAAAAATAGCTCTTGTAAACAAGCTTTGATTAATTCTTACTGTCAGGATGTGCACTGTTCTCAAGTTTAAGAACACTTTTTCCGTAGATGCTTGCTCATTTCCTTCAGTCCAACCTCTTGGAACAAGTCTGAAGGCTCAAAAATCAGGCTCTCCTTACAAGAAATAACTTCTCAGGTATAAATAACCTCCTACCAAACAGCCTATACTCTTTTCAGACACCTTTGATCTGACTTTTGAGGGGTCTTTTCAGTCAGTTTAGAGGTAGTGATAAAAAGGGTTTCTGTTGGAGGTCACATCATCACCTCCACAGAATTTCCATCACTTTATCTCTCATCCTGGCTCCTTTAAGTACCAGAAAGTTGCTTGAATATTGAACACAATAGACTCCAGGCTTCAGTTGCCACTCTAGAGGAGGGTTGTAAAAACTGTCCAATGTCAGTAGGCAAAAGTTAAGGAAGATCTAATAGCAGCTCAATCCT